CNCAAAGAAAAGGGGATTTGGCGAAAATCACCTCTCGTCGGGGGACTATACGCAGCAAAAGAGGGACCGGGGATGGAGGCCTCGGCCACGGCTCGCCTCGGATGAACGCCCCTTGCTCCCGGTGGTCTCAGCCGCTGATGCGAGGCCTCGACGGCTGCTGCACTCTCGTACGGGGCCCGAAAGGGCTGTCGAAATTCTCCCACGGGTCCGAAAGGGCTGCCGCTGCTGTTCGGGCCCTAACCGAAAGCCGACGGGGTGCCGCTAGTATGCTCGAAGGTCGCCGAACTGAGAACGGCTGCTCGTAAACGACGGGGTCAGACATGGTCACGCCAATCAAAGTGTCCAAAACTGGCTCAGCCCGCTGCTCAAACTCTCCTCTGTTCGTCGGTAAGATTCGCTCACCAAAGGTCATTTCAGTCACGAGGGTCAGACATGGTCGCGCCGGAAGTTCAACGTGACCGGACGATGGTCACCGGGCGGTGGTGAAGCTCGCCGGGGTTGAGACTCGTCGCGACTTGAGGTAAAGCTCGAACTCGTCGGAAATTACTGAAACGCGAGAATTCTCATTGGTACTCCACGGGGAAGAAGGGAACTTGCCGAAAATTGGGGCTCAAGGTCGTGGCGGCATCATCTCACGCGAACCAAAGCTCTGAAATACCCGATGTGTGCGGACCTAGGGTGGATCGCGGGGCTTGCTGCTCGCTGGAAGGTGTCGTTGCTTCACGGCAAGGGATGGCGAACGGAAATTGCTGCTCCTTGATGTCGCGTGCGGGGTTGACGAGATGGGGCGACGGCTGTTGTTTGGTCCAGCCGGAGATTGGCAGAGGGAGAAGGCCTCCGATGACTCTAGCTGTCGTTATTCAGAATCTCCCACCAATTGCTGCTAAGTGGACGACCGACGAAGGGCTGTGAGGGAGAAATTGGGATTATTGGCGATCGAAGGATGGATTAAATGGTGATTTGAAATCTGGGATTCAATCGATATCTGAAGGAAAATCTGGTTGGAGAAGAAACCGAGTAATCCTTTCGATGATTTTAAAAGCGAGATTCGAACGTGAGAGAGAAAAGATCACTGAACGATCGGAACAGAAAAACCAATGGTATGGATATGGGTGGACTCGGTCATACGGGGAAGAGAAGATAAATATCTGTTGGGTTATAGATTTGGGCCAAAGGAATAATTAAAAGAGTTGGGGCCGAAAATATATCTTCTAATGGCTTAAGAATTTAACTCAATTGGGCCAAAGCTGATTTACAAAAGGTATGGGCCGAAAGTAAATATTCGAATGTACCGAAAATATTCCCGATAAATTGGGCCGATAGAATAACGCGATAACAAGGACTTTCGATCGATACGATTACCCAGTTGGCGATTGACAATAATAAAATAGCGCGACTTATTAAATCAATTAGACGAGAACCTCCAATTAAAATAATAAGTCTAATCGAAATTATTGAGTAATTACTGGAATAAACTAAAATAAGATAATCACTTAATAATTAAGGACAATTAAGCATATAAGAATTAATATTCAAGCAGATAAATCATAAGGCAAAGACGAGCAAATAATACAAAACAAAGGAATAAATTAAATAAAATGCAAATAAATAATAATATCATATTCAGAAAATTCTAATAAACGAACGGCTTATAAGCTACGCGATTAAACATATATCGCCGAACGACGAACGTTTTAAAATAAAACGATCGAGTACTTCAACATAGAATATAAGTCGACAACGCAACTAATACAATAAATATAATCTTATAAATCAAATTCGATAAATAGAATAATCCTAGAAATTCTATAAATCGAACGGGGCGCTACAAAAATAGTAGTAAATAGAGGCAAAAGAAGAAAAAGTTTCGGCGTCTCCAGAAAAGCATGGTTTCAAACACGACACTATCATTTTATGTGGATAACATATTTTTCCCGCAACCATCGTGTTTTGAAGAAGAATCGTATACATTTAAAAAAGCAATTAAAAATAGTAGTAAATAGAGGCAAAAGTGAAAAAAGTTTCGGCGTCTCCAGAAAAGCATGGCTTCGAACACGAAACTATCATTTGATGTGGATAAAATATTTTTCGCGCAACCATCGTGTTTTAAAGCAACATCATATACATTTAAAATAGCCATGAAAAATAGTAGTAAATAGAGGCAAAAAAAAAAATTGA